CATAATTCTTTATAACAAACAAATAATTCAAAACGTTCTGTTAAACCAGATATAGAACGATGACTAAAGTAAAAGAAAGCAAAAAAAAAGAAAAGATAATAAAATATCAATGAAATGAAATAATAATATTTATAGAAAATAGAAAAGAAAAAGAAAATTTTTCTTACTATTTTACCAATAGACTCATAATTTGTGGATGATGATAAATAAATGTTGGATTAAGACAATGTGGTTCAATAAAATGACCAACAAGCTAAAATTAAATTAAAAACAAAAATAAATATTTATAAATTCATAAAAGGCTAAAAACTTTATTTTTTTTTTTTGATTAACTTACACAAATAAAAACTAAAAATCAACTAGATTAATAAATTCTTATGTTTAAGACTTAACTTCATTATAAATTCAATAGAAATAGAAAGTCAATTTTTTTGTTGATGTTAGAGAAAACAATACTTATGAAAGATAAAATTCTTGTCTGATTCTATGTGTTTTATTTGTGACGCTCTAGAGTAGTTACAAATAAGATAGAAACAAAGAGAAAGAAAAAAGTGAACAATAGATTAATAAAAACTAAAAACTGACTATTCATGTTGAGTAACAAGGAGAGTTCAAAACAAAACAAAAAACAAAATGAGTGTTTATGCCATAATTTGTTGCTATCAGAGACGAGAACAGGACAAGTTTTTCTATCCTGTCCTGTCCTATTCTGCAAGAAACCCTTGTCCTGCCGCTAGCAGGACAGAACAAAAATTCTAGTCTCGTCCTGCAGGACAGGACAGGCCAGGATAGGACAAGAAGCAGGACAAATATGACATCTTTTATTTTCTATTTAGTACATTACATATCATATATTTCTGTCATCTTCTACTTAATTTATTTCATAATTTTATAACCGTTAGTTCTCTTTTTAAACAATATTTAACTGAATAAATATAAAAACGAACACGACATGCTAGTTCTTTAGTAACATGTTCATCACCCAAAAAAATATGATATTCCTTAAGCTGGTGTTCTATTCTGTTAAATTCACATAACAGAGTGCAACACTTCTTGTGAGAAGGAACATCAGCTTTAATATTACTAGTGGAACATCTACTTACGGAATACTAAACAATACGCCCATATATAAGCGGACAGCGTAATTGAAAGAATTTAACTACTGTAGTTTGTTTATCATTTATTACTATAATCAAAGCGCAACCACCTATAATCTTGTAAAACACTTGATATAAAACAAATTACATGTTTCTCAGCGTTCTAGCTTCCGAGCAATGAACAGAGA